AAATCCCGGACGCGTTTTGAGCTCCAGAGTCGCTAAATGGGACTCCGACCGAGCGTGTGACCACCAATGGATTGCTCTCCGAACGAGGAATCCATTGGTGGGGTCACACGTTCGGTTCGAGTCCTATTTAGCGACTCTGGAGCTCAAAACGCGTCCGGGATTTTGACCGCCTCCACCGGCCTTCTGGCCCACTGTGCGGCGGGTGGCGGCGCTCCCTTTGGACGCCATGGTCCCCGTCGGGGTCCCCGTGGCCCTGGTCCGGCCCGCGGCTGTCACCACGCGGCATCATCAATGCGACGTTACCGTTCTAATTTGTGACGCAGGTGTGAGGCGGCCGGGCCACGCCGGGCAGGGCGTGTCAGTAAACCACGTCCCGCCCCGCCCCGCCCGGTCGGTCGGGTCGGCTTTCCTTTTCGGCTCGTCGCCCTGCTACCGCTGCCACCGCCGCCGCCACCGCCTGCCCATGGCCGTGCGATCGGCCGCTTTTGGAGTTATTAAAACTTTGGGCGAGTTGCGCTCGGCTTTTTTACGACTTGGCTTCGGCGTGCGAACCGAACGCCGCGTTTGGAATCGGGCAGTCAGTCTGGTCGCACAGTGGATTTGCCTGAAGACCGGTGCGCACAAAATTCTTGGCGCGGTTTGAGCTCCAGAGTCGCTAAATGGGACTCGAAGCGAACGTGTGACCCCACCAATGGATTGCTCTCCGAACGAGGAATCCATTGGTGGGGTCACACGTGCGCTTCGGGTCCTGTTTAGTGACTCTGGAGCTCAAAACGCGTCTATAGAGTTTTGGCCGCCTCCAGCGGTCTTCTAGGCCAATCCACTGCTTGTCGCTCAGGGTATGTTCCAAAAGCGGCGAGCCAGGCCCGGGCCGGCAGCACCCCGGGGCGCGAAGGCGCGAACCACTAACCCCGCGGGCCAGCCTCTGCTAACGATTAAAGCCATTCAATGTTGGGTTGCGCGGGCTACGATGCGCGCGCGCACACACAGACAGACAGACAAGACAGACAAGACAGACAGACAGACACAGACAAACAGACAGACAGGCAGACAGACACAGACAGACAGACAGACAGACGGACAAGACAGACACGCACGCACGCGCACGCACGCTTGCTCATAGACGTCAGCCATTAGCACGCCGCTACATAACGATAGATTGTCGTCTGATTGGAGACGAATTTGCTCTCGCCCCGTCCCCGTCGCCAAGGCGCGCCAAGGGGGGCGAGTGCGAGAGAGACGGCGTCTCATTGTAGTCCACGCCGAGCCGAGCGGAGCTTATGAGTGAATTCAAGCCGGGCCGGGCCGCCGGCTGGGGCGGAGCCGAGCCGGCCGAGCCGAGTCGAGTCGAGCCGCGTCGAGCCGAGCCGAGGCGAGCCGCGCCGAGCCGAGCCGAGTCGAGCCGCGTCGAGCCGAGCCGAGGCGAGCCGAGCCGAGGCGAGCCGAACCGAACCGAGCCGAGCAGTGCCGAAGAGAGCCGAAGCCCGGCCGAGCCGAAGCGGTCGAGGCAGGCGAGCCGAGGTCCGCGCCAAGTTTCGTGAAATATAGCAAGCTGGGCTGTACAGGCACAGGGCGGCCCGAAGGGGCCGAAGGCAGCGCGGGCAGGTGGCCCCATCTAGTTATAAGCCGTTCCGAGCAGCTCGCGGTGGAAAGGAAACCCTCGCCCGGCCCGGGGTCGAACCCGCGACTCGCCAAGTTCGCCTCCAGGACAGATTTATGCACTATCGATGTGCGATTTATCGACCAGTCGAGTGCTTCGAGTCGAAGAAATGCCTCAACGTAATAGTTTTAATTTACAACCGCATCGCTTCACTAATAAAATTAAAAACAATCCTGGATGATTATTCTTAATGCCTGTCACATTTCGGAGGCGTTGCAAGTCACCCCAAAAATTGATTCCGGTCGGTCCTCACAGGATGGGTCAAGTTGGCGGCAGTTCTCGTTTTCCCTCATTGACAGATTTCGTCCGCTGGCCTCGATGTGGGCACGTTGTTGGGGACCACTCCGGGGCGGGCTGGCGCGGGCCCGCATCTCAGGGGCGACGGCGGGACAGATCCTCAAACCCGATTCAGAAAGAAGGACAACATTTAAAAATCTAACAAAAATAATTCATCAATTTCGCTTTAGATTTCCTATTTTTATCGCCGGCCCTTTTTCGTAAACCCTTTTATTTTATTATTTTTTGCCTGGCAGTGTTGGTGCTACATAGACTTGTCACGATGACAACTCTGTATGAGCCTGCTGCCAACTGTCGGTAATTCGAGTGTAGAGTGCGGGCCGTCGCCAATGCGCTATCGCCGTGCCGTGCCATGCCGTAGCGCGCCGTGCCGTGTTATGCCATGCCACGCCGTGCCGTTGCGCACCGTGTCGTTGTGCACCGTGCCATGCCGTTGCGCGCCGTGCCATGCCGTGCCATGCCGTGCCGTTGCGCACCGCGCCGTGCCGTGCACACGTGTGCCGACTTTTGTCCTAATCTGGAGACGCTGGTGGGCGTGGCTCGGCGTGGCGGCGTGGCGCGGCGTGGCCGATAGCGAGATAGTCTGATCCCCGCGCGGCGCCATACCGGCACATCGGCGCGTCGGCGGTGGCGTCAAATTCGACGAATGCAGATTCACGCCGCCAGGCCCGTCAGGCCCGTCAGGCCCGCCAGGGTGACCCGACAGACGGGCCCCTGCTGCCGAGGCGATACCGGCCCGCCGACGCCGCGGCTCGACGGGACTGCCTACCCGCCAGGCGCTAGCAGGCTGTCGAAATCCCGGACGCGTTTTGAGCTCCAGAGTCGCTAAATAGGACTCGAACCGAACGTGTGACCCCACCAATGGATTCCTCGTTCGGAGAGCAATCCATTGGTGGGATCACACGTTCGGTTCGAGCCCCATTTAGCGACTCTGGAGCTCAAAACGCGTCCGGGATTTTGGCCGCTTCCACCGGTCTTCTGGCCCACTGTGGACACGTCACGAGTGACGCTCGTGGCTCTGCGTGACGCGGAAAGTGACGCGGAACGTGACGCGGAACGTGACGCGGAACGTGTCGTGGAACGCGTCGTCGTGCCGCGGCGTGCAATGCGGAACGTTGCATCTTGTTGGGCCGCATCGAAGGCCATCTCCACCGTCGTCCTTTTCCTTGGATTGCTCCACGCACCTTCTTCTTTCTCGACTTTAATCGCCGAGTCAGACTTCAACAAACGCACTGGCGGTTCTGCCGAGGCTGGGTTTTGCTACCCCGTCCAGTCCGGCGGCACTATTTTCCGTAGCCGAGTTTCTGCGAAGGGAGATCTGCTTCTGCAGTCCTTGACCGTCCATGGCGCCGGCCCACTGTACCCGCTACACTGTGTGGGCCGCTTAATGAGCGCTTCCCTTTGGGTGACGCAAGGCGGATCCAGAAAGGGACGGAAAAAAACTCAAATCGACCACTTTTCTGGGCTTTTCCCGGGCCCCGTCAAATGGGGCAGGGGGGATCCAAGTTCGTCCAGAGTCGAGGGGTGACCCACTGTAAAATTTTGTTTACAATGATTGTGTGAATGTGCGAGAATGTGCCAGATTTCTGGCGTTTTAGCCACACATGTTGCCTACGTACAGGCGTTTTTGCCACCTGAATGTGGAATGTGGTCAAATTGGGAAGCTGTTCCCCCCTCGTCCAGAGTTCACTCCCTTCGTCGTGATCGCGCCGGCAAGGGGTCCCCAACCGAGCCGGCGAGCGTACACTGACTTAAAGTCAAAACTGACTTTTTTGACTTTTTTGTGACTTTTTGATTGTTTTTTTGACTTTTTTGTGACTTTTTGATTGTTTTTTTTGACTTTTTTGTGACTTTTTTGAGTATCTTTTCTGACTTTTTGCGACTGTTTTGCCTTGGAACTATTTTCACTTTCACACGTTTTAATGACTTTTTGACTTTTAACTGACTTTTTGACCTTTAAATGACTTTTTTGACTTAAAAAGTTACTTTTCCACCAGCGTTCATTGAAATTTGGCATTTTTAAAGGCTGTTTCGTGACTTTTTGGATACTTTATAGTGGTTTTTCTGTTACTTTTTGACTTTTTTGACTTTTAGTGACTTTTTTAATGACTTTTTCACCCGTGTACACCGATTTTCGCCGGTTGGGGACCCCTTGAAGGCCGGTTTTGGAACTGCCCGCAGCTTCCAGTAACTTCCCGCCAAAACTTGAAACGAGTACAGTGCGGCCGTCCTTGCACCAGGATCTAGATGACTTACGGCCGCTCGGACAATGGACTCGCGAGGCGCAGCGCGCAGCCAGGCCGCCCTTAGAGTCCCCTCGGGCCAACCGCAGCCTCGGGTGAGCTAGCCTCGCCGCAGGGGGTCGACGCGACGCGACGCCAGCGACAGCCAGTGCCGCTTCCCGCCGCGCGCGCCATCTGGGTGGCGAAACTGCGTACCGGCGGCGCCAGCGGACTCATTGTCTGTCTCCCTCGCACCTACTCGGGGCGCCCATGAGTGCGAGAGAGACAGACGGTCTGCGTCACTCCCAGACGCCGTAATGTGTGAACACGCCTAGGACGCGCTTATCAATGGCCTACACTGCGAGGAATAAAAACGGCGACGGCGCGCCATTTTCATTCGCGCCCGTGTGATGGGCTTTTTATACGGCTTCCTCCTAAGACAGTGATTCAGCATTGTGGCTCGGGACGAGAAATTATTTTATGGATCGGCGCGAGAGCGTTTTGTTGTCTGAAATGGGCAGAGACTGTCCTTTTTGTTGTTGCTGCTGTCTGAAATGGACAGGGTCTTTCCTTTTTGTTGTTGTTGTTGTTGTTGTTGTTGCTGCTGTCTGAAACGGACATGGACTGTCCTTTGTGCTGTTACTGCTGCCTGAATTGGACAGAGACTGCCCTTTTTGGTGTTGCTGCTGTCTGAAATGGACAGAGACTGCCCTTCTTTTTATAACGACAACTGATTTTCCCGGTGGCTTAATTTTTGCTGTGCCCCTGCGATATCTTTGTGATGCAGATGTCTTTATGCGGGTTGTTTGTTTTTGTTGCAGGTATGCACGGATAAGACGGAGCCACCGAACAAGTAGGTTAACGTCCTAAAGTGTAGTTGGCTTGTTGCGTTCGAAATTCGCGAAACGCGACAAAAATCTCTTTCAAACTTGCCGAAACTGATTTATTTTCGTAAACTTAGCCTTGGCTTCCCGAAAATCATCGAAAATTCCTTTTTCTGCCGGTTCTGCGCTCGGTTTGAACCGGCAGTGCTGAGAACGTTGTCGTTTGAAAATAGTAGACGCATACTTTGCATGTTCGAACCTTGTCAGATGAAACAAAACGGGCGCCTGTGAAGTCGTGACATGCACACACACTGCAACAGGCCGCCGCATCCGGAAGTGCGAGCCGAGCCGAGCCGAGCCGAGCCGAGCCGAGCCGAGCCGGGCCGAGTCGAGCCGAGTCGAGCCGAGTCGAGTCGAGTCGACCCGGCTACCGGAGTGGGTGATAGCGTGAGTGTGCACATGATGAGAGCGTAGCCGCGTAGCCATCGGCAGGGCTTCGCTGGCTTCGGCCGTGGTGCTCGCGGTGCGCACAGTGGGCCAGAAGACCGGTGGAGGCGGCCAAAACTCCAGACGCGTTTTGAGCTCCAGAGTCGCTAAGGGGCTGTTCATAAAATACGTCACGCGTTTTATGGGGGTTGGGGGTATCGGCTAGGTGTGATGAGTTGTGACGCTGAGGGGGGTAGGGGTGTTGGGTCTTGTGACGTATTTTTAAAAATACCCGTTTAATACGACATTTTCGGGTGGGTAAGCAATGAAAACGCCCTCCCGCGAAGTTAATTAATTGTCTTTTAACTTACTAAAGCGTTTATTTTACTCGATAGTGTAAAGTCTTAGAGAAATGAAATTAACTGATGTATTTTGCGCGATTTCTCGCTCATGCTAAAAAAAATACGTCACAAGTGGGTGGAGGGGAGGGAGGGTTAGCCGAATGTGACGAAGTTGTGATGAGGGAGGGGTGGGGGGTCAAAAATGACCCAAGAACGCGTGACATATTTTATGAACAGCCCCTAAATGGGACTCGAACGAAACGTGTGACCCCACCAATGGATTGCTCTCCGAACGAGGAATCCATTGGTGGGGTCACACGTTCGGTTCGAGTCCTGTTCAGCGACTCTGAAGCTCAAAACGCGTCTAGAGTTTTGGCCGCCCCCACCGGTCTTCTGGCCCACTGTGGTGCGCCGTGCTGCCAGCGTGCTGCGCTCCATGTTGAGTCAAGCTCGAGGCCACTGCCGTGTTTCGGGAAAGGATTATCAACAGGAACTGGGCGCAATGACTGGGTTGGGTACTCCGCGGGGCAAAGTCTGAATCGATTCCCGGACTCTGTTTTGGACTCGTCCTCACAGTGTCCGTGTGCTACACACTGTGTACGCAACGCACTGTAGCGCCACAGCCAGTCGTTACCGCCGTCATTGTCCAAAGTCTGGCAAAGCACCTGCCGCACTGTAAAATATTCCGTACTTTTGTACGGAAATGGTACAGAAAAATATAGTACGGAGGTACGGAGGAAAGTACGGAACGTTCCGTGGTTGGCAAGTACGGACGTTCCAGACAAATTATTGACCAGACATGTTCCGCACTTTTTCAGTACTTTTTTCTCACAGTGCGCGGTTAACCTGCCCGGACGCGTGCCTACCGAACAGCAGTTTGACGAGGATCTAGCTTTGCTTTAGCTTCGTCCCCGACCGGCACAGCCTAGTCACTCTGCTATCTCAGCGTGCCTGTTTGCCGGAGACTCTGTCACTATGTGTTCTGGTTTATTGAAATTAGTTCGTGTGCTACCGAGACGCCGTGTGGTCGGCCGACCCACTTTACAATGTGGATCGAGAAATTAGCGCCACTTATGCACTTTCGAGATTCCAAGTAAGCTTTGAATCAGGGAAAAGTTGACAGGGGTTTGTACTCGTTATTTCGATGTCCGTACACACGATTCCAGATTCCCACGATTCCCAAACTGATCCCACGATACAAGCGGGGATTTTCGATCGTATTCATTTGTTTTTCAGTGTTTTTTGTTTTCATCCCCGGATGACTTTCCACTGAATGAAACTTCGGAATAATTAGGAATGGTTCACGGAGTGGGTAACCCCCGTCAAATTGTGAAAATTGAGTCTTGATTCCCTGAGTTGTGCATCAGTATCAGGTTAAAGAACTCGGAACCAGGTCGGTTCGCTCTGTGATCTGCACTAGCGTAGCAGAGTCTTTGTTGCCATTTCAATATTCGTGCTGGCGCTTTGGTGGCGCCTAGATGGCGGTGCCACTGCAGCGCGTGCCTCTCCAAGCAGGGACTCGATTACCAGGGGCATGCCTGGCTAGGCTGTGCCTGTGCTGTGCCGAGTTCGGGGCCCAGCCGGCGTGCAACGGCACTTAAAAAATAAAGGAGAAAAAAAAAAGACTTTTGAGTGTTTGCAGATTTTCGATGCACTGTGCCCCTTTTCAGTCAAAACCAAAGTCCAAAGTGGATGAGAGTCTGTAGACGTTTGATGCTCCGTTTCCCTTTCGAAGGGAAATAACTGAGGGCAAATTTGTACTCCAAAATTCACCAAAACTTTGAAATGTACTAAAATTCATTAAAATTTACCCAAATTCTTCTCAAAACTCAGTAGTTTTGGGCTGAAATTCAACTGAAATTCATTTGATTTGTACACCGAAATTCACAGTGATTTCTTCCCTTTCTTCCCTTCCGTAAAATCATAGCTCGCTTTAAAAAATAACGCACAAGAAAAACTTTACGATTACTTGGCGTACTTGCATGCGTTAGGCGCAAAACCAGTGACTGTCACAATGATCGAAATGAAGCCTTTTTGACGGAAGTGATGTGGCACGTTGTGCACGTCCGCGATTCGATGCACTTCCTGTCGTGGCTGTATTTCCCATTTTCTCTCGTTTTCCCAACACCTTTCTCGTTTAACGGTCACGTTCCTAAAAAAAAAAAAAAAAGTTTTTCCGAGTTCCTTCCACGTGCTGACCGGTGTACCGTGTGGTGACTGAACCAAGAAAAATTGCCGTAAACATATTTTGAAACAAAATCGAATTGATTGGTATCTTTTTGCGCGACCATTCCAAAACCGGCAAAGAAAACGGTTCGTCCAGCGAAATGCGTAATATGCAGGCTGCGTCACAGTGGCGATGATTCGTGGGTGTGGGGTGGGAGAGAGAGAGAGAGAGAGAGAGAGAGAGAGAGAGAGAGAGAGAGAGATGGGGGAGGGGGAGGGTAAAATCGCCGTGTCATGCCCGGATATGCCCGAGGCGAGTATCACCATCCTGCGAGGAGTACCTTGTGAGAGGGAGAGAGACGGGTGTCTTGCAAGACAGAGCGCCCTCCGCGTTGAGACGAATTCGTTTTAAAAGCCCGACCGGATCGCTTATGGGCGGCGTAACCGGGTCGAACCGGCCCACCAGCCCCCAGGGTAGGCAACCCCGCCCTGAGCGTGCGATGCAAGGCTTGCCTGTTTCGGCTTGCCTTTTGGCCATGCGAGCTCCTCTCTTTGACGGTAACAGCCCACCTTAATTGCACTTAGAGTGTGGCGGCCGGTAAAGCCTCTTCTCGACTGCCAACCGCTTGTAAATGTGTGAAAGTCAATTTACCGCACTTAGTCAGCCACCACGACCTGGTTGAACGTGCGTCGTGCCAACAATGTAGTCGTTTCGGTTTTGGTGTGTCGCGCTTTCGTGTGTGTGTGTGTGGGGGGTGCATAGAATTTCTATTCCCACAATTATGTTTCGGAACGGGGGGGGGGTAAAGAGCGATTTTGGTAGGAAGGACCGTCCCACGTGCATGCATGCAGAGTAGAGGCCGGTTTCGAATTTTATTCCCGAAAGTGGCCACGTAGTGCGCTTCCAGGAACGCACGCCGGAACTTCCCCCACGGAACACTGTCGAGCAAAAATGACGAAAAGTCAGTCACTTTTCTTCCGTTCATTACATCAAATCAACGTGCTGAGAAGGTGCATACTGGTCAATGTCACCGAACTGACCTTATCGATAAAATTTCCATGGTTATAAAATGAACGATCCGTTTGCTGGTTGTTGATGATGTTGTTGTTGTTGATGTTGTTGTTGTTTAGCCAGGAGCCGGCCTTATGCCGATTGGCGCGCGAGAAGGGCTACTCTGTATTCCGCAGGCGGCTCGGCTCGGCTTTTGCTTGGCGTCGCTTGGCGGCCGCCGGCGGCGGGAGGCGAACCCACGGCCGCGAACTTCACTTCACTCACTTCGTGCCGCATCGTTGCGCCGTGCGGCGCGGTGCGGCGCGTTGACACAGTTCCGAGTCGGACAGCGGCCGGACAGCGCGGCGCTGCGCGGCGCGGCCAGTGGCTGTCCTTGATGAGCAGCGCCGCTGTCCTCTGAAAAAAAAAGACACACACACTGTAAGAAATTCCGCACTTTTGTACGGAAATTGTACAGAAAAATAGTACGGAGGTACGGAGAAAGGTACTGAACGTTCCGTACTTGCTCCATATGAACCCATGCAAATGGGTACGGAAAAAAAGTACGGAAGTTCCGTAGTTGGCAAGTACGGACGTTCCAGGCAAATTATTGACCAGACATGTTCCGTACTTTTTTCTCACAGTGCATACAGTTTTGACATATTTCTTACACGAAAAAAAATTCTTTGCACGTCGCGTGTGGCTTTCTTCGCGTCGAGTTCTGAACTAACTCTAGCCTTTGCTATTTTTAATAATAGGAAAAAAATCCATGAAAACTTATTTTTGAAATTCACATATTTTTTTCTCGTGAATGACTTTGGCTTGTAGTCAAGCATTTTGAAGTGTATCATGTCCGACTTTACACGCTTCCCGCATGAAGTCAAAGGCGCCGGACGATTGGAAACAAATAGCGACCGCAACAACAACAACAACAAGAGGCGGCCTTGAACCGTGGCCGGGCCATCAATCAGGTGATGATGATGATGATTCGGAACAGAGATGGGCGACGAAAAGGTTGCTCTCCAGCTCGCTATACCTCGCTCTAGCTCGCTGTGGCCGCTCCTCGGCATCCATCGCTCATCGTGCGAACCCGGTACATTCATCA